AGTGTATCTTCAGAAGGTCTTCCTTCTTTCTCTACCACACCTCAATGTAGAACCCATGTTCCACAACTGGGGTGGATGGACCTCATCCTACTGAAGAACTCAATGACTTTAGAGGTCTGGTTGGGTGACCCCGGATGAATATTTGACCAGAAAGCCCAGATGTGCTGAGAGTGTCCTTGCCTGATCAGGTCCACGCTCCTCAGATTGAACACCCACAAGGCTGAGGGTGGCAGGCAGGCTGGAGGTCACCTTTAAAGAATCCTGTGAGGAAATTTCTGGGAGAACTTTGTGTGGTTCCTGCTCCTGTGGTATGCCTACCAGTGCTAAGCTGCCTCCTTTTGAGGAAGGGTCACCTGGAGTGAGGTCAATGTCCCTCAAGCCCCTATCACCTTGCTGTTGGTGCTGAGGACCAATGTCTAGGGTAAAGGAGTGCAGGTCTGTTCACACATCCTGCAGACCCCTGAGACAACTGGACCTGGCTTTCCATGGCTCCATGGAGGCAGCCAGGTGGCTAAATGCCTTAGGCATTAGGTTCCCAACCATGTAACTGCAGCCCTGCAGCCTTTGTGTCAGAGTCAATACTGTGTGTAGCTACATTAGTTTTTGTCAGGCTTCTCAGTGCCCCGCCAAGCTTGTCTGCTACCTTTTGTCTGCTTCTGCACTTGTTTGAAGTCCTTAATTGCTGACAAGCTCCTGCCTGGGGCTGAGCGCATGCCTCGTCTCTGGTAGTACTCTGGTTCCCAGAGACCCGTGGTGTGATGTTCTACCAGCATGTGCTTCTAGTTCTAATCTCACTAAAATACCCATCAAACTGTCAGTATTTGAGCTTGTGGGGGTTGCAGGACGCAGCCATACCACTGCTTCCTGAGACATCTGAACTGTCTTCCTCAGAGGTGGAGGAGGTGGTGTCTTGTGGGGCAGTCTTCTCCACCATCATCACAGTGGAAATGTTCCTTGCACCTACAAAACACAAAGGAGAGAATATGTCACCACCAATGGGTATAAGTTGTGCCATGTTATTGAATATATTCACAGTGGGAGTTATAAGGAACAATTATCAGTGCATCTTATTTGGTTGTTGGGACGTGGATGTGGAATGGTCCCAGCTTTCACCAGCAATCACTAGGATCATCAACATGTCTGGAGGTGATGAGCCAAATGTAGGGCACCCCAATACCTGTCCTGTCACTAACAGCCATATCATCAGCTGTTTTCTCAGTATAACTGAAAAGGAGAGATTGATGAGTTGAAAGTGAGTGGAACATCTGTTGGTCAGGGAAAGGCATTGAGGTGCCTCAAGTGAGGGAGTAGGCAGTGCAGAGAGCATGCGGGGTTAGTGGTGTGATTGGGTGGGTGAGAATGAGTGAGAGAGGATGTTGCGTGCAGTAGTGAGAGTGTTAGAGCATGAGCCTTGGTGTGAGGTGGATGCAGTAGCAGAGATACAGTGACTGTGAGGTACAGGAGAGAAGAGTGTGACCCTTATCCTGGTGAAATAGACAACTTCATTGACTTTCTTTTGGCACTGCTGGCCATTCCTATTTACTGTCCTGGAGGGTGATCTCGGTTCAGGATGACAGTGTTTGCTAACATGGCCTCCTCAGGCAGTCCTCAAGGACTCTTTACCATCCTGTTCAACAACAACTCAAAGTCCCTGCCTGTAAAGCAGGGTGCAAATGTCCTGTTATCTGAGGGATTGCAAACAGCCCTCTCTAGAATTCCTGCACTTTTCTGGATATGGACCTGCTTTTTAAAATATGGCATCAACATCAGGGATCCTAGAAGATGTCGGCATATTCAGGCAGTGGTGAGTGCATCCATTTACAGTAAGTGGGAACATTGGGCTAGCACTGAATGAGAGGAACACCATAGGGGTAGGGTTGATGTTTAGCAAGTCAGATTGGGGCAATCATGTGAGAGAACTCACCAGGCCCCATGGAGAGAAATCCTCCATTAACCCTGATGGAAATGACACTTAGCCCGAATACGGCAAGATTTAGCCAACCATTGCTGCAAAGTGTCCTGTCTACAAAATGTGCAGCAGCTTCTTGTTTACACTTCTTCAGCAGCATGTCCTTTACAGCCTCCAAGGAAAATGGCAGCAGATTCATTGGTAGACCACACCCGCAAGTTCCACACCATATGATACACTGTTCTGACTTAGAAATGCATCACCATTCCTTCATCATCATTGGATCAGCATAATGGAACTCCCTACCTAACAGTAGTCTGTGCATAATTGCACCACAAGGACAGAAGTGATTCAGAAAGTATTCTTGTCACGTTCTTAGAGGCAGCTAGGGATGGGCAAGAAGTTATGGCCTTACCAGCGACACTCAAATCTCATGAATAGAAATAACTCCCTTTGCCAGACCATCACCCTCTTCTTTCCAATGTCACTGATTCTGACTTGGACAAACTGCTTCTTTCCCTTTCCCTTCTATGTTTCATTCTGGATGCTTTGAGATATCTCCTACCCCATCACCAGGTAGACAAGACAACCACCTGGACTTTCAAATATAACTGTCAAGGATAGTCTATATCCCCCAGGTTTTCTAATTACAATAGAGGATAACCTGTACCGTCTAGTTTTCTAATTATAGTCGAAGATAACTAGGGATTTATAGGCTTTCTGATTACGGCAGGGAATAACCTGTATACCCTCATTTTCTAATTACAGCAGAGGATAATCTGTGAATCTCTAGTTTTCTAATTACAAGTGGCTTTCAGCTGTTTTGCTGAAGCCACAAGGACACAGGGTTGATGAGAAAGGTGAGGGGCACATCGTAAGATTAGGAGCAAATCTCATTATAAGAATGGCACCATGGATTGACAATCGCATGATAAATTAATTTAAGGAAATGAATTTATTGGAAATTAAAGGTAATACATTTTTTTATTTTGGAGCATTGGTCATAAGTGTAGTCTAATAACATTGATAATATTTTGTTAATAGTGGAGATTTTAGTCATCAGAGATTTGTAATAAAACTATAAATACATGTGGATTATTTAAATGCTTGAGATAACGTTAGTATGCTTGAAGTTTAACTGGTTAGGTTAAAGTTCAGATTTCTTCTAAAAATCATGCTATTTAATCACAGGCAGGGGCTGGTTATCTCAGTAATCCAGCATGTGGTTCAGAATAATTTCTGTTCCAGCTGAGGTAGACTTAGGACCTGACTTCTTGCTGTGCCTCTGAAAGTGGAAGGCAATGACACACCACTGTGGACAAAAAATACCAATAGACCAGGATGCAGCATCAGCAGTTGATAATCCAGAGTAAAATCTTCAAACGACTAACACAATTGGGCAGCAAAATGGAATATTATGGTTAATTTTATTTTTCTTGGCATTAAAAGATATCTCTTGATGCATTGACAGTGCTGACCTGGTGTAATTTTATTCGTGCAGCTGAGAATAGGTTTGTTGTCAAAAATAATCATTTTAAGAGTGAGCAATCCTCTAGCTGATCTAAAATAACTGAAAATGTTTTTGAAAATGTTGAATCAATTAATAATTTCTTTGATGTACATTCGATTTTCTAAGAAATTAACTAATAGAGTGGAATGGGAAAAGAAATGTCTTTTAAAATGTACCTCCTAGTGCCTTGCACCTTAGAATGTTTTGGAATGAGAGCAATATGTGGGATTTTATTATTCTGATCTGAAGGCAGGCTCATTTTGTGAATGGGGATTGATTTGAACAAGTTGAACCTTCACCCAGGGAAAAAAAATTGTGGTAAATATGAATGTAAGCAGTTGTGGTTGTAACTTCCATATTTAAAACCCCCCAAACCTTTGTGCTGCTTTGGCCAATTCCACCCAGATTATGCTGCTATGACCATCAGAATCACACCTCTCCCCACCCTTTTCATTATATCTCAAGTATATAAAGCAATACATAACTTTACATGGCTCAATTATTTCTAGCATTTCTGCATATCTCTTGGAAGCACAGAATACTTGTTGGAGACTTAATCTACTTATATTTCCATATTAGCACGATTTAAGATGTCTAATGTTTTATGCTGTACAATATTACAAGAAACATAGAAGATAGGAGCAGGAGGAGGCCCTTCGGCCCTTCGAGCCTGCTCCACCATTCTTCACGATCATGGCTGATCATCCAACTCAAAAGCCTAATCCTGCTTTCTCCCCATAACCTTTGATCCCATTCACCCCAAGTGCTATATCTAGTCGCCTCTTGAATACATTCAATGTTTTGGTATCAACCACTTCCTGTGGAAATGAATTCCACTGGCCCACCACTCTTTGGGTGAAGAAATCTTCAGGTTGGCACGGTGGCACAGTGGTTAGCACTGCTGCTCACAGTGCCAGGGACCCAGGTTTGATTCCACCCTTAGGCAACTGTCTGTGTGGAGTTTGCACCCTCTCCCCGTGTCTGCGTGGGTTTCCTCCAGGTGCTCTGGTTTCCTCCCACAGTCCAAAGATGTACAGGCTAGGTGGATTGGCCATGCTAAATTGCCCATAGTGTTCAGGAATGTGTAGATTAGGTGGATTATAGGGGGATGGGTCTGGTTGGGATGTCTGTGGCTTGGTATGGACTTGTTGGGCTGAAGGGCCTGTTCCCACACTGTAGGGATTCTATAATTCAAAAATGTCTCTTCACCTCTGTCCTAAATCATCTACCCCAAATCCTCATGCTAAGACCCCTGGTTCTGGACACGCTCACCATCGGGAACATCCTCCATGCGTCCACCCTGTTAGAATTTTATAAGTCTCTATGAGATCCTTCCTCATTCATCTGAACTCTAGTGAAAACATTCCCAACCTAATCAATCTCGCCTCATACATCAGACCCGCCATCCCCGGACTCAGCCTAGTAAACCTTCGCTGCACTCCCTTGAGAGCAATAACCAAGTATAAACATCCTGCTGACTAAAATGTAATGCTATTGTTTTGTTATGATCACGCATTTCTTCTATCTTCGACATGGATTTCATTTCACTATGATTAACCAATAGTTTTATTTTGTTTTCAGTATGAATACTTCAATGCTGTTTTAATAAATGAAAAAGATGAAAATGGCAACTATGTTGAACTTGGGAAGGAATTTATTTTGGAACCAAATGAACATTTTAATAACTTGCCGGTTAACATCAGCTTAAGTGATGTCCAGATACCAACAAACAAGTACAACAAAGGTATGTCAGAATTATATATTCTTTCTATTCACTTTATTTATGCTAGTACTTGTAATTCATATCAAAAAGCTGATTAACATCAGAATTTTTTAATTATGTTAATTCTTATTTCTAAAACTGAATGCATTATGTATCAAACAGAAAGAAACACTTCAACCAATAACAGTACATGGGTTTAAGTAAATTCCCTAAATTTATTCCAGTTCATACTGGTAGCCAATTGGACAGCCATCTCCAGAATGTGGGCTGTGGTATTCCTGCTCTGGATCTTCAATGCACCTATGTTACTAATGTAGAATACCCTTGGTAAACATGCTTAAATCACAGTACAATAGTTAATCCTTTTGTGTATATGTCATCATGAACACTGCTTACACTGAGTAGTTACACAATTCTTTGTTGACCCCTGACTATAATATAAATAGCAACTAATACAGCAGAATTTTAAGAGTGTCGTCTGTTCTCTGGGTTAAGCCTCTTATGTTTCAGTGAAGGCTCATAATTAATCAAGATTGTCCAATGTAGATCATGATGTCACACAAATTAACTTATCGCCTTGCAATCACACAATTCTACATCTGATTGGGGAAAGAAAGATAACATGGAATATGTTAAGTGTGACTTAATTTTGTTTTTATTTATCAAATCATTGATTTCTGAGAAGTGAAATTTTGTTTGTCAAAACTCTTGCTTCATTGTGAATTGAATAGTTACATCACAGCTGTAAATGATCATTTCTCTGCCAGACAATGTGTTAGTTCCCTGTAGTGAATTGTCACTTAATGTTCTGATTTGCAAGGAACGTTATGAACATTAAAGAAATTACCCATGAAATGAATAGAATATTACACTATTGCTAGAGTACTACAGACATTCTTGCACTCAAGCGGAACACAATTTAACTTGCTTATATCTTTGACATTTGTGACTTATACGTCCTTTTTCACTCATGCAAAAAACTGGTATGATAATTTTCCTCACCTTGAACATATTTACAACAGGGTCCATTATAGGAAAAAATGCTTTTATAGAGGCTGTCCACTGCATAATCCGTTCTAGAAGAATGTGATTTTAATAGTATCATTAAGTTTCAGTGTGGCTATGAGGAATATTTTGAAAAATCTATCTTTTAGGTGCTCATGGGCCAATGATGAGTCCGCTTGTCAAGAGACAAACATACTGACAGTATTGTAGATGAATTAACCTAAGCTGCAGTAGCACTTCTTTTTTGTTAAAAAAATTACATTCTCACCAAATTTTGAAACTTGTCAGACACGGGTGGTAGGAGTTTGGAACTCCATAAATGGCATTTGGTGTTTGATCAATCGTAAATTTTAAATCTGAGATGGATAGATTTTTATTATCCAAAGCTTTTAAGGGATGTGGAGAAAATAGCAGCATTTGGAGTTAGTTCACAGATCATCCATGATCTTATTGATTGGCAGAACAGGCTCGAGGTGCTAAATGATCCACTCTGACCTGAGGTTCTAAAGTTCCTTTCTGTGTTCCTATGACCAAGATTTATCTTGTTGAGCCTATAGTTAAACTTACGATTCTACCGGTTTTTCTGTAAGTTGGCTTTCAACTCCAACAGAGCAATTTTTACCTACCGTTTGTTAATAGACCAAGGTTTTAAGAATTTAATTCTGACACTCATATCTAAAACAACCCTTACTGGTACCTTAGTACACATGTAAAAACAACTGGCTTTTTCTTCTTCTTAACGTGTTTTATGAGAGTAGCAGGATGCATTAATGTGTCGACATATTCATGTATTGACATTATCCATTTTGCTTTTCAATTATTATACATCAATGGTCCCCAAAGTTTTAAAGCATTCCAGTAGCTGTCAGGTGGAAGTGATTAAAAGATGACAAAGACTAGGCCTATGACATATTCTTAAATCATACAATGGTACAAGTTTTCCAGTCAATGTAATAGTTTGTTTAATATGTGAAAGTAATGTAGCAACTTTAAATAGGGGCCTAATGCACAGTTAAATTAAAAATTCCAAAAGTTGTTAAGACAAGTTGCCTTGCTGAACTCTTACCTTGCGAGGTGATGTTTTACTGTCTGTCTCACCACTGAAATGAACTTGCTGTGTTTATTTGGATTCTTGAGAAAACAAGTTCAAAAGAAATGATACTTAAATCAAATCACAAATGTCCCAATCAATATATTTAAATCTTTTCCAAAGCTATCCAGTGTCCTTTAACTACAAGAACTGTATGTGACTCCACAATACCTTTTGATATCCAAAACATAATAGTGTTTTGAGATAGTCACTCCATATCTTTCCCTTCCTCACAATTTTCCATTTTGAAACACATTCCCAGAGGGCCAGTGAAATCTAATGCAATGGCCTAGATTTTAGAATCCTCTGTGGGTGGGTGTGAAGGGGATGCAATGGGAGGGGAGAGGCTTGTCTGAAATTTTTCAGAGGGATTAGAGGAGGTGTTAAGCAGCCCATCTGCCCTTGGGCTGATATCTCATCATGCCAGTACTAGTATGTTACCCGTGGAAGGGGACGCCCCCCCCCCCCCCCCCCCCCCCCCGCCCCCCAAAACCATGTGCAAAACCCATAAAGCAGCTTTAGACGGAGGCGCTTGTGCCCGGAAATGTGCTGGGCAGGGGGTGCTTTGGGTGGCGAGTTTGGAGAATCTTCTTTCCAGTGCCCCTAGGTACTACCCCACCAAGGTCATCCTCTTCTTTAACATTCTTCCCAGCCAGACATCTTTTTATCACAGCCCCTCACACCAATCACTTCCCTTGCCATGGCAGGTCAGCAGACCTCAGCGAAAGTGTTAGCCCTAGACTTGTCTGCAGTCCTTAGCATGGTGGGCTGTCTGTAGTCCCAGCAGAGGCCTCCATTCCCAGTGACACTGCTGCGACTACAGAGCTATTTGATTGACTGGCAGCTCTCTAAGGTAGGGAACCCTACTGAGATAGCAGTGCAATCTTCACCTTTATATCATGAACAGTATTAATTTGCTGTGGGGCAGCCATTGGTATTGTGGCTGGGCTTTCTCATGTCATTTTAACCAATGGCGGGGTTGGTACTACAGCAGCCTGAAAGATACAGCCCTATGTATTTGATGTTAAGTCTTTTGGCAATTGGGATTTCCATTTCTAAGACAGCATGTGCGAGAACCTGCTGTGTAAATGTGATCTACAGTGGAGAACCTCGCTTACCGATCCTTTATCTCGGGAACTCATGGTCAGAGACCTTGCAATTTCTCATATTCACAGTTGGCAGGTGAGTTCACATTAAAAGAGCAAAGACAGCTACCGATTATAATAAAGTACATGACATTTTCAGATTAAGTAAAACAAAGCATCTTGAATAGATTCCTCTGCCTCTGATCTTTTTTCCCCTGACATTACCCAAGTGGTGAATCACACAACTTCCGCTCTTGCGCCCAGTATTAAATTCTTGGCCTGGGGTCCAACAGGTGAATCAGATTCTGATTTGCACAGCTAAAGGGCAGAGCTAAAATTAGCTACGTGATTTCATATCCTGTCTCATTGCCAGCAGCCGATTGGCATATCAACTGCAGCTCCCGTCACCTTTGATAGATGTAGTAGATAGTAACCTTGAACATCATGTAGTAAGGCCAAGCAAGGTAGGTGTCAAAGCACTGGCGACACATGCAAAATCTGCTGTGGACATTGAAGCATCAGACAAGCAACATGTGCACACTAACACCAGGACTGTTCCTCGGATCCAGTTCATTCATTACCCATGCAATATTGTAAAGTACGCAGATTAACAAAAAAAAGTCAACTGTATGATCCGTGATCAGTTCTACGGTTGATGCAAACAACCTCGTCCTGCAAAGATAAGTCTTAAATTATTCTTTGGGCTTTGAAGAAGCAGCGAGGCAACTCTTTAATCCAGGTTGCAGCCACCCTGGGACCCTTGAACACAATTATGAGTCTGTAGTGATTGTAACAAGATCAGCCAGGTGAACCTCATAGAATAAGAGTTCAATGATTGGGGCTGGCAGATATAAGCAGGAGTGTCAGAGGCTCTGCTAACTCTGAGAGCTGGCCCTGAGGAAGCTGGACCAGTGTCAAGTATTATGCACGTGTAAATAAGGGTGACTTGGTGAGGGGATATTAGCCTCTGTAGGTTTATTTCAGAGTCCTCGTGACTTACCTTTCCAATGACATGGCCTGTCTGGTTTTGTTTAATTTGGGAAGCTGCATCAGAAAGCCAGTTTATAGTCCTGCATCATCTTACAGTAAACCTGGTGAATGTCTGTGAGAGCTGCTTCAGCAGTTCATTTTATCAAAAAAAAGCCAAAACAGATTCTGCTTTAATTTTCACCCTACAATGACAAAATTCACATGAGCTGAAAAAAATACTTGTGAACATTTTTAGTATCTTTAATGTTTGATATTTTGAGAGCATTCTCTGGCTATGCGCCATCACAATCTGCATCAAAATGACAAATACTTCATGACATTACCCCAGGGGTGTCTACCTAACACAGTAAGAACTAAACGAGTCATAAAAATAAATTAGTTTTTGACCAGTTAGTTTTATGATTGCTTATGCCAACATCTACCTTTAATTGCCTTTTCAGAAAATGACCTAGCTTTGACTTGTTTTCTCTCTACAAATTAATGTACTGCTAATGAACTTTTTATATTTCACCTAACATATTTGGAAAGGCTTACCATTCAATAAGTCGAAATATTTGCTCAAATAGTGGAGCTCTGTTTTAAATTTTATTATACAGTGCTGTCCAGCAAATCTTTCAAATAGTACATTATGCCAGAAGAAAAGTTTTATTTTTCTGTCCAGGTTAGGGCCCAAATATCCTGGCTCAAGAGTAGTCAGAAACTGGACATGTCATACAAGATGCATATTGGACTTTCTGGAAATCCCAGTGCACTGGATATATGGTAATTGCCTGGGAAATTTAAACTCTTTATGTGCAATTACCCAGCAGCTGGAACTCTCTGGAAAATCCCCAACTCTGAGTTAGATTTGG